TCTCTCTCTCTCTCTCTCTCTCTCTCTCTCTCTCTCTCTCTCTCTCTCTCTCTCCCTGTGTGTGTGTGTGTGTGTGTGTATCTCTCTTTGCATCTCTCTTTCTCTCTCATTCACACTCGCTTACACTCACACACCAGAAGTAAAATGAATGTAGTCACATTATCTCCTCATTTTTAAATAATTTGAGAATCTTGTTTATGTTGTTGTTAATTTGAATGTTTCAGAAATGTGAATTTTAACATGTCTGCGGACATTCCTTCAATAGCATTTGAAGATGGCAGCTCAAACCTTCCTTGTACTATTGCATTCAGTAATGCCCATGCTTGTGATGTTGCTCTTATATTACATAAATATCTTTCACTTGATCAAAGAGCTTTGGAACTGGCCACAGCTTTTCGATATTGGGCTCATGTAAGTATATTTTGTTACGTTTACTTTATATATATCATATTTGCTATTGAAATTTGTAAGAAAGAAATATATTTCCTTAAAAATTGTAATGGCAACTCTTATTGTTATTGAATATTATTTCAATATTGTTGACGCATAAAAAATTGCATCTTATTGTATATTCTAAATAGAAAATGTAGTATATTGCTGCAGGAATGGTTTTGATATTTTGACTGAAAACACATTTGTGAGTCACTGATGTGTACATAGTAGTTTTTCCTTCCTTATATGCATAGTATCTTACTATCTCTCTTTTGAAGTATACTCAAAATACATATTTTTGGGATTATTGATTCCAAAGTGTTTTTTTATACTTCTAAGAATCCCATCTGCCCTTCCGTTTGTCTGCGAGCACCTAAACCGTACACACGATTGTCACCAAATGCTTTTTGTCAATGGTTCCTGGACATGTTGCAGCCTCTCTAAGTTGAAACTGATCTTTTAATTTTTGGGGGTACCTGGGATATTTTCAAAATGTCAAAAATTGCTCAAACTTTTTCTTTAAATTTATTGCTTGAATAGAGGAAATTACATTTGTGAAAATGGCGTACATTTGAATTCCAGATAAACTTTTGGAATTTCTAAAATTGCATTTCAAAATGTTTTGACACCCTCATCTTTAATAATAAGATAGAGATATGCTTCTTAGTGTAATCTATTCTTCAATATTAAGAGTTCTTATCATTCTATTCGTATGTACACTCATTTTAAATATTAGTAATGTTTGCATAATCTTGAATTAAGAAATAAAACAATAATTTTGAGTTATTGTGACGCGTTAGAATCACTGCAATTTCAAGAATCTATTATAGCAATTATGACACAGTGCGTATTATAAGAATCCATAGCATTGAAAAACAATTTTTGCTGATTGAACTTATGTGCAATATTTGAATCGCAGTCTGGGCAAATATTTCTTCTTTAAACATTTGTAAGAAAAGAGTGCAATACACTGAATTCAATGGCGGGATTCATTTAAACTTGAATTTTGAAAAAAATATTATTTATTATTATTATTGTTATTATTTTGTTTTGTTGGGGTTGAAGAGTTGATAGAAGTTGCAATTTTATATATATTATTATATGTAGTTATTGCAGAATTAGTATCCATTACCAATACCTTGAGAGATAATATGCTCTTGTGGCATGGCTAGTTATTTCTTTTTTAACCAGGGCTTAGCATAATCTTTATGGGTGCAGTTCTGTAGGAGTTGGTGATTGCATTTTGTCAGAAAATACCATGTTGACTTGAATAACAACATTGAAATATTAGCTTTTCGTATGTAAATGTTCATTGCATCCCAAGGATGACTATGTGGTGATCATGTCCTTGGTTGTCCCTATGATTGAAAAAAATGTATGAGGATATATGCATGAGGTTGAAAGCATAGGCTTCCATGGCCAGGGTCAATAGATACTCGTCTGTCCAAGCGACACCATGTCTTAGGCACGGTTACCAATGTTTCGATAATCATACTTGACCTTCCTCAGGACGAAATGCAATTCAAAAGTTGTGCATTTCCTCAGAGAGTGGTTGCAGGGCACTTAGGCAACTGTGCCTAGGATCAATGTTCAGGAGCGTCTCCTGAACAGCCAAGGATCAATGCACGACTTTGTCCTTTGTGTGCATGTTAATAATACAATTAAAATGTTTGTCTTTATTTTCTTCATAGATGGAGAGGGTAGTATCATATAAATAAAAATTTTTGACTGACACAGTGGAACTCTGAACTACAAACCTTGTCTCCCAATAGCTTCAGAAATGTCCCACCAAGTCTGATTACTGTTCATCACAAATTTGCTCCTGCGATGTTCATGCAAAATTTCTCCTCACCGCAATGTACTCCTACCCCAACCATCTTGTGTTGGTTAATGTGAACCCTATCTGACGAAAGTACAAAGCATGCCTGAATCTGTCCCTTCTTCTGATTTATTCCACCCACATTGGTTAATGCAAACATAATCAGCATGTACATTAATCGTGCCATCTCTTGCAAAACAAGATTAAGTCTAACTACTCAAGGTAATGTAAAAGGAAAGAAAGGAAATTCCGCTTTTATACATGTGACATTTTTCATACAAGCCATGTGTTCATAAAAATTAATATAACATAATTTAAGTTAATAATTAAAGTGTTGGATGTGTGTTAATTTTTTTAAATTTATCATATTTTTACATTTTCATTTACATAGTACAGAGAAAAGTTATTTAATACTGCTAAAATCAAGGTGGAGATTTTAACAGAAACACTGGTTTTGAGGGTCCCTAATACCGAAGAAAATGTTTTATTCCACATGTCCATATCTGAACAACTCTAGCACTTAACCTGTACTCAGGATGTTTCTCAAAATACATTTCATACACAGTTTTTTTTTAATATTAGTAGTTTTGGGATAATTTAGTAACAATTGTCCACAAATCTTAAACAAGGTAGAAAAAAGAAAATCCAATCCAGGCACCAAATGTTTTCTTTAAACTTTATGTGCAGATGGAGAACAATGATTTAAATCACATGACATCAGGACTATTTTGTTTGAATCGTGTGATTGTCAAAAAGTATTCATTTTTAAAAATTTATTTTTATTATTTTTTTTTTTAATATCTCGCATGTTGATAATATTTACAATGGTATATTCTGTAAGTATGTATTTGCATCTGTGAGCAGAAATGCTTCAAATGATCTATTATAATTAAGTTGTGGATTTTGTATATTTGCATGTTTTTGGTCCTTAAATATAATGATATTAATGAAGAAAACATTCATTTCTTGTTTGGAATCAATTAACAAAATCTTATTGTGCATATTTCAGCATAGTTGCAATGCATTGCAAATAATATAAATATAAATATCATGTTCCCACCTACATACTCAATATATATATTCTAGGTTTGAAACTGTAAAATTATTAAGTGCAGTTTTATGATAGGAATCTCAGACTATTACATAGCAAAAGAAATTGTAGCTTTTCAGTGTTGCCGCTTACTTTCATATGAAGTTCAAAGAACATTTTATGTGCAAAAACATTCTTGCAAATTAGAAAAGAAGAATTACGTAATAAAATTTAGACAAATATTCCATAGTTTGGAATTAAATCCATTGATTATATTTCAATATGTAAATGTAGTATTGGGCGTAAAATAAAAGATGTGCTTAAGTCTGTGCTTATGTGTAATTTGAAATGCATCATTTCTGATTTTTTACTTTCTTGCTACATAGTAGAAAGTTATGTAATGCTGCATGAGAAAATGGCGAATTTTCGGCAGAAATACCATTATTATAGGTCCCTGGTAACGAAAAAGTGAATAAATCCATTTGCTAAATTTAGAAACAAAAAATCTTCTATCAAGTGCTGGCCAGAATCCATTTTATGTGGGTCCTTCATACCGGAAGATTGAATGACCGCAAAGCGTCTCTGAACAACAGTAGTGGCTAAACCATTTAGCTGATGTTCTCCGAAATTAATAATCCCCAATCGATCTGGCTAATATCTTAAGTCTTTGAATTTTAAATTGATATTTTAATTTTGGGGGGTAATTTACATGAAGCCCCTTGTACACTTTCCAAATTTTCAAAAAAATGGCTCCATCATTTTCGATTAAATTTTGTTGTTTGATAGTGTGAAGGATGTTTAAGAGAATGGTACAGGTCTCATATTCATTAAAAACTCTGATTTTTCGAAAAATTGCAAAAGTTAAATATTTTGTCTACATCTAAAATATTTAAGAAAGATTTTTTTTTCCTTAATGAAATCTGTTCCTTAAAGATAGATTTTGAAATAAGGTGATGTACAATTTTTCAAAAATTTGAGTATTTTTTATGGGAATTTGAGTGAAAGTACGGGTGAGAAAGTACGTGCTGTTTTAGCCCCACTAGTTTTCGCCTATTTTCATTTATTTGCTTATGATTTTTAATACTTATAAATCAGTATCTTAATTATGAAGTTTATCAAAATCTCAAAAGTTTTCAAGTGTTAAGAGCTCTAAATGTTGCTGTTTCGGTAACGTTCAAATCACATTTTCTTACAAACCACTTGAAGTTTTTGACTGATATTCTTCATATGAAAAGAGGTATTGTTATATTCTGAAAGTCTCATTTCATTACGCTATCAAGGGACTGAAAAATAGAGAAAATATGAAAAAATGTGGATGCTTTTTGATAAAAAAAGATAATTTCTTTCCTAACGCATTCTATTCCTCAAAATTAGATCTTAAAATCGTTTCATGTGCATTTTTTTCAAAGAACAAGTAGTTTTTACACTTTTTGAGAGAATTTTCTGAAGCATCACAACCAATGGAACATTGATGTTGCCAAGTGGTTGTGGTAGTATACTGGCCTGATAAATTCTAGGACTGCGGTACGAATCCTGGCATATGCAATTTTATTTATTTCTTGTACACAAGCGAGTGCAAAACACAATTGAGTTGTTGCAAGTTTCATTTTCATTAAAACACTTAATTTTCAAAAATTGGTGATAAGAATTTATGTTAAAGTGTCTTGGACATTCTTTTGGTAAGAGATTTTTTTAAGAGAAAGGTGAAGTGTTGGTGAGAAAAAAGTTGCAATATTATGATACTTAACCCTTATAATTATTACAAGAAACTTGCTAGTATAGAAGTGCTTATTACTATTACCACTAGTATAGAAAATAAATTTTTTAAATTACTGGTTGAGAAAAATGAGACTGCAGAGTATAAACAACTAATTGTACATATTAAAAGCTCTGGTGTAATAAGTGGTGAAGATAGTAGAGATGTTTACTCTGTAGGTAAAGACCTTGATGAAATTCTGTTGTTGGAAGAACTGTTCATTCAGTAATATTTTGAAGCCTTTGATATGAATGTTGAAAAAAAAGATAAGAGACCATGTGGTGATTCCATTCATTGGTTGAAAGTGATGTTCAATTTTTAATGAAACAACATGAATTCTGTCATCTTTGTACAATGTAAATTTAAAGAACACAACAATTTTTTTAATTTTAATGGAGAAAGAAAGTTGATGACTTATTCCCTAATTTTAAAGTGTTGATGAGGTTTATTGTTTGTGTTAATTTTCTAGTTGTGATATTGAGTGCTGTTTTAGTGCTCTGCAAAGACTGAAGAATTATCTGCATTCATAAATAACAGATCAGAGGCTCAATCATGTAGCTGTTTAAAGTGTCCACAAGTTACTTGTAGATCAAACACATTCTCTCTGCCATGTGAGAGCATATGATATCATAGTGAGGTATTTGTTTGTGGTGCATGGGTATGCACATAGGTGTGCCGATATGCATAGCCTCATGAAATATTTACAAGATTATATGTGGCCTCATATGAAATGTTTTTAGTGTGAAAATATTTGATAGTGATACTTACACCTATCCATGAATTAGTGAATTCCTTGTTATCAACAGTGTTAACTACACATCACTACACAGTGTGGATGAATTACATTCAACTAGCACAGATTTTGTTGCTTGAGTGTGCTAAGCAACATTGGCACTGGGGTAGTATAAGAAAGGGTGCAGTTGTTTCATGGTATAGGTTGGTTAAAATGCGTGGGGCAATTAACAGGTTAAGAAAACTCCCAGAATATTTACATATAATTTTGACATCATGTACAATTACATTTTGAAATGTATTTGGATCACTGTTTGGATCATGGGTTGCAATACTGGCTTAACTTCAAAAATGAAATTTTGAGAAAAAGATGTTAAAAAGTTTCCAGTAATAGTATTGACAATAATGGTAATGTAATAATGATGATGGTATGATAATAATTAATGTAGTAATGATTATAAAATATTACATAAGACTTGTAACACAAAGTACATGTTTTTTAAAATTGTGCCAGTGTTGCAGCCTTTGAAAAATATATTATAATAATATGCAAGTACCATGTTTGTACTTTAATAGTATATTAAGCAATTAGTTCACAATGTTTTGCTTTCTTGCACAAGTATATGTACGAGTGGCGTTAGGAATAAGTTTTCGAATTTGTATGAATGTAATAAAGCAAAATTACAAATGAGCTGCATACATTATAATTTTGTACACATCATTACGTATGGCCATTTTCATTTCAAAAAATTAAATTGTCATTTATTGGCATCATATGACCCAGATTATGTTTATAGCACAAATAACTGTGTCTTGTGAATTGAGGGAAGGTGGCGGTAGACCGAACAGTTGGGAAGTATTTTCATATGTCTACTGGAAAAAGCAATCGGTCCCACCAAAAACTGGCCTCAAAGAGATCCACTGCTTAATCAACGTGGCCGTTTGAGCAGGTTTCACTGTATGTGACAAATTCTGAAGAAATGAAGACTGCACAAAGTTGCATATTTCATTCTAAACTAGTGAGCTGGTGGCAGATGATCAATGAGTAATATATCATACTGAGAACATCTGTTCTTGTGTGCACCTGGAGAGTACATGCAGAAGGACTGAAGTTAATGTGATTTCACTGTTAGACAAATTAAACCTTGCATATAGGGTTTGAAAACTATGATTTTCAGCAGTTTCTTTATCTTTTTTCTCTTCTTTTACTTCATGAATTCCTGTATTTTAGTACGGCAGCATTTGTACTTTTGTTTCACGTTAACAGATATTATTAGCTGTCTTGAATGTAGTCCCTTTCAGTTTACAGTGTATTTAAAATGTTTCTATTTAAAAGAAAGAAAGAAGAAAATCTTGCAAGTTTTTGATAAGCATGTACCTCTTTCTTTGGTTGTAGATTTGTTCCAAAATACTATTTTGAATAAATGTATTTGTTTATTTTATTTTGTGAAGTGGCATTTATATATTGTATTCTTTTTATAATTTTTTAATTTTCACTTAAGTATGTATTGTGTAAGTATTGATGACTTCATTAGTTGTCTATTTTATTATGTATTCAGAGAATGATTTTCTAATTTTCGTATTTTTAGTTGTGTTGTTTGGACCAAATTGAATGTGGGACACTACCAGCACATGCTTTCCCAATACTTGTAATTTATTATTTGCAACAATTGGAAGATCCAGTTTTACCAGTGCTCAGTGAACATGAAATTTATGGAGAAGAATCAGCTATGCCAGAAGTACTCGGTATGAAAATGTTTTTTCTTTGTATATGTGTTTTAGCTGGTTAGATTTATTATTTTTTACCTAGAAATTGTATTTAATATGGAAATTATGAACTCATTTTGTGCATTATATATTGGTGGGTCCTAGTGTTTATTCTGAAACTTGGGCCAGTTGGTTTTCCTCTTCAAAAGTACATTGCATTTCTTCTTTTACATTGAAATGACTTTTTTGAAGAATTATGTAATTAACACTTCATTTCACAAGTGACAATCATGAACTTGTGTTATTCAGAGTATGTAATACAATTTATATGAATGTTCTCTAAACAAATGTTTAACACAGTTTTGTAACGAATTATTGGTATTTCTTTTGAAATTTAAAAGGTGACGCATACAAGTATTTTCCTGCTTTTGGAAATGGCAAACAACTCCTACAACCAATATAGTTGCTTTGCAAGCAATTTTAAATCTTCAAAAAAAGTCAAATATGCTTGAAAGAGTCTAACCTAACATAATGTTTAAATTTCATGACTGGGAACTAAAGCATTCAAATATACAAGTTGAAACTAAAGGTTCCTCTTAACAATCTTGATTGCCAAAAATCAATGTGTTTTCCATTTAAAATTGTTGGCATGGATTTTTAAAGTGAATATGATGTTGCTCTTTTCTGCAGGCGGGTTTTTGCCAAATTGTATTTATTTGCCTTTTGATTTTGGTGGAAATAAGACACCATATGTAAAGAATGTATCAACCAACATATCAACCTACAAATTATTTATAAATCCATTTTTATAGATAATACCTTATTATAATATGGAATTTCCTGGATATTTTTTCAAGCTGAATCAATTCTAAGGTTGCTTATTAATTATTCAGTATTTTTATGTTAATCATTGAAAAGTGATTGAATATAAAACAAATAAAAATAACTAGAATAATCCCTGTCCATCACTTTTTATCTTCAAGTTTTATGACTAGGTACGTCACCACAAAAAGTTTGAGAGGAAATTATCAAAAAGTGTTAAATATTATCTGCATTGTCACTATCAAATAAAAAACAACTACTAAGATGTTATGGTTCAGTCAGTTTATTTTTAAATAGGTTAACAGAGAGAACTTTGTGTGATACATCCTTGGAATCTGTCAGGTAGGATGAATACGTTATTTTTATGTTTTTGCAGCAATTCCAGTTGTCAAAGTAAATAATTTGAGACTATATTTATACACAAAAGGGATTTGCAAAAAAAATATGTTGTCATACTATAAGAAAGTCCTCACACCTAAATTCAATTCTAGTGAAGAAAGAAATTACTATCAAAAACATTTGCTAGCTTTATACGAAGCATTTTTTTCAGTACTTGGTATCTTCATAAAAAATGTGATCCTAAACAAGTTTATATTAGTTTTGCAAGAGAAAGGTGTTATCTATTTGCAATGACTATTGAATAATTTTGACGATGTAAAGAATTAAAATTAAACTCCCTTTTTTATATTTTATGCAGTAACTATTTGAAATCTTGACTGACATAGTGCAGTCTGGGTCTCGCTATGTTGTTTCATTTATAATGATTTTCTTTCTGAAGTATTTTTACCTTCTCCTACCTTTCAAAGAACAAGGCCTCTTCACTTGCAAGCATCATTTGTCATGAGATTCCACTGTTACCTCAATTTAATGATGACTCCTCTAAGAAGTTGCTCAGAAGTGTTCTGAGAGACAGCCCCATGTCTGTCACGCTTGAAGTCAGTCACATACCGAATGTATGTTGAAAAGACAGCAAGTGAGCATTGAGCTTTATTATCTTCGTGGCCTTAGTTTTGTGTGTGTGTGTGTGTGTGTGTGTGTGTGTGTGCATATGCATGCGTGTGTGTGTGTGTGAGAGAGAGAGAGTAGGGGGTATTTTTTAATGGTGTTTATTAAAACTTATTGAGATTGATGTCATATCATTTATGAACATTCTATGAATGACCATTTTTACAACTTGTGTAAGAATATCTATAGTGATATATTTTTGCTTTATGTAGTCGATTACAAATAATGATTTTGTAATAAAGCTAGTGGCCTACAACAGCAAAAATGGTGTTGAACAAAACCACACAAAATGGTTTTACAAAAAAAGTAGAACACACTTCCCAAGAAAAAAATAAATTTCTGTCACAAAACCAGCAATAAATTAAATATTTTACAAAAACTGTGTTCGCAAGTACTCCAGTAACATATAGAGTGTATCTACAGTTCTTTGTACTCCAAGAATATAAAAAAGGTTGCTGTTGCATACTGCAAAAAGTGCCTAGTAAATATTTAATGGTGGGTGACCTTTTCCTGCATCGTTGATGTTGCATGATGTCAGCTGTGTTGTAAGCAGTGACACACTGAAGTGGGTGTAATTCAGTCTGAGATATATTCAGTCAGTATATGCAGTATGAGAGGTGGGATAATACTATAAATATTTGCATTGTTCAGTCAAAATCAAAACTGTTTCATTGTTGGTATTTTCCCAAGTTTCTGTATATCTGATGAAACCATAGACACCCGTCACATGTCTGGAGACTCCATAGTTTTCTTTCAATTTCTGTCTGCATTGGAAATTATTAGTAATATAGATATATAAATTTATAAAAGGTTGTCATGTACATGTTGTAAAAAGATCCTATATATTTAGGAAAATCTAATGATTTTTGAAATATAAAAAAATCATTTGAACAAAGTATATTTGTGCTCTTATATTAAAACGTAAATCCAGGTTTTAGCATAAAGGCATGTGCAGCTGTAATATGGGAGAGAATTTGATAAGTCCCTTTGAAAAACCTATCAATCCATCTGTCTGTCAACAGCAGTAGCACTAAACTGAACACTGGATTTTCACAAAAATTGATATTCCGATTAATCTTGGTGGCGTCATGGCCCCCTTGAATTTGAAACGGATATTTTAATTTTAGGGGGGTACTTTATGTGAAGCCCCTAGGATATTTTAAAATATTTTCCAAAATGACTCGAAATCTCCCAAATATTTTATTTTTTATGTTGCTTGTTGGGCTCCTTATGTTATTACCTGCCTTTGATTCTTTCTGTCTTCGCAGTAATGAGGTCAATTTAAGAGCAATAATTTCCTTTTTTCAGTCTTGCTTTCTCTGTATTTTCTGATTTGTCATTCTAAACATATGTAGAATTAAAAATAAGTTTGAGTTACAAAGAAGTTCACCTTTGCTACAAGGAGAAGAATATTTTGAAATTGTATGTAATTATAAGAAAACTACTTCACCACCATTGGAATTCATGGAAATACCATCCTTTTGATTTGGCCCTGGAGACTCTGGATTTAAACTCCAATCTCTGGGCTCCAGAGTAACTGATAATCTCTGGGCCATATCAGTAGTTTCTTTAGTTTACACAATTATAATAAAGCACACTGTTTAATAGAGAGCACTTAATTATCTTAAGTTGATTCAGATTATTGACTATAAGTTTTTATTTAATGGTGCTTCCAAATACTATTTCACTTCAATCCAATGAGATATGAAAGGATAGTTTCCAGATTAAGTGGAATAGATTTAGAAAAAGATTATGAAAAAATTTCATCATTTGTTAATGACAGAAAAGTTTTCATGAGTGTTTTCTAAAAGTAAAAGTTTTCATTAGTGTATACTATTGTCATTGGATCTCTCTTATGGCTCAACAAAAATGAAAGTAAAAAAACAAAACGACAAAAACATTTATGTATGAGTTACTGTGAATTTCTGTACTAATAGGTTGTGTTTTGTTCGTGAATATATGATACTTCCTATCAAAATGATTGCATCAAATGTGCATATATATTTAAATTCTGAATAGTTGCTCAAATATTTTGAGATTCACTTAAATTCAATCTAAGATATTCCCCTGGCTTCAAAAATGTTCAGTCAGCAGCTTTATTCTCTTGCCTGTTCAATAAATTGATTAAGTTTCACAAAATTGTGGATTTCGAACCAGTCAATTCATAACCAACAATTAACCGTATAAGAATCTCAGGACTATTTGTTCAAACTTTTTCTCTACCTGTCATCCTTCCTTCCTAATAATCTGTATTAAAGTTTCTTTGTTTGAGGAACATTCAGCAGATAACAAATGTATTAATGAAAGTACATAAAAAGTTCCTTCTTGTATATCTCCAAAAAATATTACACGTGTTTCATTACTGTAGCCACTGGAATAGACGAAGTACATTTTTAATTTAATTCTGTTTAGTATTTTGGTGTGTACAAATACAATTGCCAAATGTTTTCATATAGTATTTGTAAAAGTTCTTAATAATCTTTCGTATATTTTTTAATATTTATCATTACATTGTTTGACATACATGTACATTTGAATGTTATATAATTATAAAATTTATAACAAATTATTTAACATTTTTTTTAATATCTGCTATATAATTGTTTTTGGCACATTGTTTTTATACCAGGTATTTATTTTATTGTTCGCCGAAGATACGGGTCTCATCGCGCATGGAGGCGAGGGCTCGGTCGCCGGGCGAAACTCAGACCCAACTCGTGTGCTGACGAGAAATGTTGCTGCGCTTATCTTACCTTAAAGATGATGTTGAAAGCGGTGTCCGAATGCTTTTTTTGCACCTCCGGAACATATTCTGATTTATCTTTGAAGTAAGTCTCAAGGAATGACTGTGATTTTCACTTCAATAGAGTGCCGGAGCTTTCTCCGAATGCAGGTTTTCTGCATACACCTGATCTTTCAAGTACCCCCAAAGGAAAAATTCTCAAGGGTTCAGATCAGGTAGGCTAGTCAATAACACACGATGAAGTGATCGACACATAAACAGTATTTAAAAAGTTCAGGGATCGATCAGCAGTGTGAGCAGTTTCCGAATCATGTTGAAAGTAACAATATAGCCTTTCTTGTAGCGTCAATTGTTCGACGAATAATGTCAATATCTAATTTATGTAAACATCAACAGTAACGGTGGTGTTGAAAAACATGTCCTTATTAATTATTGTGGAACTCAGCGCACACTACTCTTGTGGAGCAGGTAAGTTTTTTGCTCTCCAATAGAATTTGTTTTGTCTGTTGGAAGTCACATGGTATCATGTTTCATTAGAAAAGAAAAGCGGAATGTGTTCCGTAGGTGCCAAGAATGCGAGGCGAAAGACACCGCTTTCAACATCTTTGAGGTAAGATAAGTGCAGCAATAGTTCCCGTGTGTCAGCACGGGAGTTCAGTTAGCGTTTCGCCCGGCGACCGAGACCCCCCCCGGCAACGCAGCCCGAATCGTCGGCGAACGATAAAATAAACACTCGGTATTATGAGTACATAAGTAGCCAAGAGATCCAAAGTGCACATTTATGTATTAAAAATCTAAATTTTTCCATCATAGAAAAAGTTTGGGGAATATCAGTACTTCATGTTGTATAGTTAAGAAACCTTGCAGTCATGGTTTAAGTGGTTTATTTGCACATTTTTAAACATTTGACATTCATTTTTATACTTTTTGCATTATGCACTATTTATTTAAAAAATTAAAAGTATTATTAATATAAAATGAAACAGAAATTGCACACTAACTTGTTTTCAAATAATTTTCATTTTCAAATTATTAGATTTAATACAAATAAAAATTGAAAAAAGGCATGAAAGTCAATAACAAAAAAATACTTTCACTTGTGAAAAAGAACCCTGGCAGGTACCAGGCAAAATTAAATATTTCCTACAATTTCCCATACTAACGAGATCCCATGTTCCCCCAACCAGAGAGTTTGGATATAATTTACTGAGGCCGACATCTGGAAGAGAAAGTGAGAGTTACACGTGGATGCTTAAAGGGGGCTGTCCGACTCATGCCGGGGGCTTAAAGACCTGTGACCCCTAAACCCATGCCAATATGAAGATACTTCAATTGATTCCTTATTGTGATTCTTTTTCACTCCAATTGTTAATGACAAATGGAACATAGTAAACTTTTTGGGAAGAATGCAGCCTTTGATATAGTCATATTTTCATGCTAATTTTGAATATGTTCATAAGCAAATAAACTGGAAGGTATCTGAAAGTTGTGTGAAGAAAATTGTGGAGATATCAATGGTTGAAGTTCACTGTCAATAAATCAGATTGTGTAGGACATGAACCTCTGATGGTAAATGAACAATTCAGTAATAGGCCTAATTTTCACTTTCTGATGATGAAAAGCCTACTATTCTTCACAGACATGCAAATATGAAGGTGCATGAAGTAATGATAGTGAATTCTTTCTAAATAATTTGTTCAGTATTATTGTATCTACTTGGTCTATCATTAATAAAATATTGAATGTTCTCGTGAGATTAATGCATTTATTTTAATTTTATATATTTTTTAAAATAATTTCATTATTGAATCTTGTTTGTTGGAAAAAATAACTCAAATTGTTATATAACTTCTGTTTCATATACTTCTTGTTCTTCATACACACACTGTCCTGCACAACTAAACTAAATAGAATATTAACTATATTGCTTAAAATGTTAAAGTCCATTATCATCATTCTCTTTCAAACTGAACAGCTCAGCTATAGTATGCTATGTAGTGCACTCACCCATGATTTGTTTTTATTATTATTATTTTTTTTATTCTGGGGAGGGCTAGATGTATAGTGTCCAGCTGTCTTGTTGTTTGATAAAGGATTTTTCATTTATGTTTCATATGATAGCAGTTTATGATACAAATGATAAAAGTGACTTTTTATTTTGCAAGCAGAAAAGTTGACACTGAGCAAAATAAAATAACTTTCAACACATTTGATTCACAATCTTTTAGACAGCCTTATTGACTTATTTTTAAGAATACAAATCACTTAATTGTGTTCTATGATATATCAAGTTATCACTGACATCTGTGGTTTGTTGAAGCCCTATACCTCCCTCCCAAGCACCCCTGGCATAATAAATAAACCAGCAAGTGTTTCGATTTAGTATCCTCAGCTCCCAGCCATTTACACAAATGTTAGAGGTTGTGTATGAATTTACATTAAAACTTTGTAAACTTCATAATTCATTTCTACCACCTTCCATCCCCCTTCCCTCGCCAGTTTTTTTTCCATTCGACCTAATTTAATCATGTACAAACTTTTATTACAATAAAGTAACAATAATAAGATGATAATATTATAACGAGTGTTTTTATTCATATGAATGTATTTGATGATAAATGTGGATTTGTTTTTCTTGTTAAGCCTAAAGAAAATTAATGAACAAACAAACAAACTGATAAATAAGTAAATAGATTGTAAATAATAGTAGGTAAATAAATCAATAAATAAAATGTCTTTCAGGAAATGTTATTTTTAATATTCACTACTTAAAACCCTATGCAATAAAGGTTTTTGTTATAAAATTTGGAAATTTAATAGCCAACATCAGTCAGCGTATCAAAATATTTAAACATTAAAAACGTTTATATTTTTAAGTTCCACTCTCCAGAATAAGGGACATTGTAATATACATTTAACTTTTCAATACATTTATTTATATCAATATTTTAATATTTCACAATATGAACACCTTTACAATGCTTAGCATACTTATGAATTTCAATCCCCTGTAACCTACAATAAGAATGGTTTAATCATTAACAGACAATTAATACTGGTTGAACCTTCTTGTGGAAATTGCCCTTGAACATAAAAAAAAGGAAACGTGTGTGAATGTGATTGCAGTAAAACCCCGTTTTCACATTCCCGCAATTTACGTTTTCCTGCTTTTTACGTAATTTTTCGTTGGTCCCGTCAAAAAGCCTATATTTACAATGCATTCTCTTCCCGCACTTTACAGCTTTAATAATCAAGTGCTTCTCGTCTTTTACATATTTTAACATTTATTTTATTTGATTCTTTTACTTTCTCGTATACGTATTATACCTAGTGCAGATAAAGTTATGTAATGCTGCGACAAAAAACGGCGATTTTTCGACAGAAAATCTTGTACAGATACAGAAAAAGTGGATAAAAGTAGATGGACAAACAGACGTTTTGCCGTCAATTGATTTTGTGTTTTCAAAGACCCATAAAACAGGGATTCAGGCTACACCACGTGTTAGAGGAAGTAATTTACTATGTATAGGAACATGATTTATCCACTTTTTCAGTACCAGAGCCCGTCAATAAGAGATTTTCTAAAGAAATTCGCCGATTCCGGCGCATGCTTACTTTTCTTACGAAGAGCGAGGGTGTAAAAACAGAGTTTCTGTTTCAGTAAATAATGAAAGTACTCGCCCAGCCTTTCGTGCATTTTACACAATTTTTCATCGGTCTCCTGAAGTGTAAAAAAAAAAAAAAAAAAAAAAAAAAGGGTTTTACTTGTTTGTGTGTCATGGTGCAGCAGGATGAATGAATATATGGATATATGATCAGAATGTTATTGGTGTTCGAGTGTGTCTAGTAGACGCATGACTGACAAAAAACCTGTTCAAATGTACAAATTATTTATTATTTTCATTTGATTGCAAGTAAGTTAAATCAAAGGTTCATGTAATTTCATCTACTTCTAAACTAACTAATTAATTTCCTGTGTTACACTTCAGAAATTGATCGACTGATCTTTTCAAACAAGTTATTTTCAGAGATACTATTACTGTAATATTTTTTAAAAAGATAAATTGGAGGGGTCACACTTTCATCAAGTGCCTATGATCTTACTGTGGTTGGGGGAGATTTTATTTTATTGACTATATTGTGTTCTTATGAATATATGTGTGTGAGTGTGTGTGTACATATTCTCATAACATTTATATTTAAATTATTAAATTGCATACTTCCTTTTTTGTTTTATAGGAGATTCTGAATTCCACAATAAATATGTTCATGTACATTTTTTTTTTCAGATCCTTCTGTTCCAAGTAATTATAAATGGGAAACTAAAAACAAAATGAGTTTGGGTGAACTGTGGCTGGGCCTTTTCAAGTTTTATGTAGTAGATATTGATGTTCAAGAGCGAGTAATTTCAATAAAGACAAAAGAACCTGTGCTTCAAGCATCAAAAAAATGGAACAACAAAAGATTGGGAATTGAAGGTATGTGCTACAAAGAGATGTATAGTGTGTAACATAACTTACAAAATAACATAAATTAACAAATGTGTGTAAAATAAATTGCAAAAAGTATTACAAAGTATTACAAAAAGTAATACCTCTTCATTAAATTATTGGTGTCATTTAAATAAAAATACTATGTCAATTAAACTGGACAAAACATTGATTTTACTTAACGGTTCATTGTGTTTGCACATGAAACTTTAGCTGCTTTGCTTAATGCTAGATCAATGCAATATTAATGTTTTTACCAAAAAGTATTACTTTTAGTGAACAATTAGATATTACCGTGATTTTTATGCCAGTACATGATAAAACGTATCTCAATTTGAAAATAGAATGCATGGTGTAATGCAGACACATTTGTCTTTGTTTGTGTCTTTGTTCAAACTTTGTGTTTGTTAACCAGAGTAATTTATCATGCGTCATAGAGAACTGCAATTTCCCTTCCTTGCTGGTACTGCATAAAAAAAACTCCAGTGGGTTTAGGGTTGGATGTTCTCTCTGTACGACAGCAATCTGTTCTTCTAAACTAACTTTTCTAAATTGTCCAAAATAAAAAAAATAAAAAAATAAAACAACTGCCCATTTATACGCGATTTCAAAAAACAACCAATTCTTGGTGAGAAACTCAATACAGCATGCTCGGCTCTGTCATCACATGAATCAGGTTGTAAAGGGAGTGCAAATATACACTTTCTTCAGGCGATTCCTCTTCAAATGTCAATAATGCCTGAATATCAAAATGCTTTGTATAGAAATGACATTATTTGTCACCTTGGGATTTGAAAAGGGAAGGGAAAATATGTTTTGCCCTTTCACACAGCCCATGGTGCTGCCAAACCACAGCGCGAGATGAGATCACATTGAATCTCCACTTATGTCCAGACCTTTGAGTTGGACATAACACTTAAGCATGTGGGTGCTCAGTAGGCCCAGGGTTGTTTCAAAGAGCCAACATGAGATGGCAGTTTACAAAAGGAAGTCCTCCCTTTAGTACATCACTGGGTATCCAGTCAAGAAAAAAACCCTGATATTTCTAATTGGTTCTGTATGTTTATTGTGCAAATGAATTCGAACTCGAGGTTTGCCACCTTGAAAAATGTCGGATTCACAAAGCAAATTGCAAAAAAACCTAAAAATTTTTGCTTTTCCAGTTTTTTGCTTATATCTATACAACTATGCGCTTTATCGAAACACCCTTCATGCATAAAATTAAAGTAGACAAAAATTCACTACCTAATACATGTATTAACTTTAATTTTTACTTAGTAAGAAGAGAAAGTATTGTAATCGTGTGCTGGAAAATGGTGAAGTCACATCAGAAAAACTCTTTGCCGGGCCCTGGTAATGAAAAAGTGGGCGAATATTGCTGTTATATATAGTAAAGTACCTCCTCTAACACAGTGTAGTCAGAATCCGTGTTTAGTGGGACCTTGTTACTGACAAATCAATTGACGGGAAAACATCTGTCAGTGATCAGCAGCTCTTCTCCAGAATTGAAATATCCCAATTAATTTAAGGGAATCTGAGACCCTGCCAGTTTCAATGGTTATTTAAATTTTTGGGGGTACTTTACATGAATGCCCATTTACATGTTCAAAATTTTCAAAAATATTAGAAGTTTCCGCTAAATTTTGTGTGATATACAGGCAATTTAAACATTTCTTCCCCAAAACGGCTGTATTTTTTTACGTTTTTCTCATATATGTCCTAGAACGGTAAAAAAAGGGGGGCTTAGTCCTGTTACTGCTGAACTCTGTATTTTCGAAAATTGAAAAAAAATGTCAACATTGCGAAAGTACATTATTTGAAACATATTTCTCGTCGAAAATGCCTTTGCTAGAGATGTTGATGGCAATTGACATCTCTACCTGTCAACTGCACTGTTACAAGGTTTTTCAAAACTACATTCTCTAGATCGAGCCATTGAGATTAAATTTATATCTTTGGAGAACATACAAAGTATTTAAATGACCCTAGAGAGGTAAATAGTAATATAATAGAGGTAAAATACTTCTGTGATTCCTGTAGTGCAGTCAATAAGTCATTTTGCTTTGCAAAAGGTGAGGTTGAATTTTTTAAAATTGTTATTAGTAAGAAAACCTTAAATTATCTACCTCGAAAAACTTTGGAAAAGTTTTGTTAGCTAAAAAGTCAGGCATTTTTTGAATTTTGCATAATAACTTATTAATTGTTGATCTTGGCGCAAAAATATTCTATTCTATTATAATTCTAAACTATTCGAATTCTATTAAAAAAAATAAAAAAAAAAAAAACCCTCTCAACTTTACTGAATCCTATATTGATTGATCAGCAACACGAGCGTTCCATGACTACCAACTTATTATCTTTTTAGTACTTTCTTCTTGAAAAATTAAATCAAAAACTCTTAATTGACGTGATTTATACTGATTTCACCAAAGCTTTCGACACGGTCAACCATGATATTTTATTAGTCAAATTAAATAAAATGGATATTCAGTGATCTTTATTAAATTGGATGTCTAATTATTTGAGTAACAGAATTCAAGGTGTGAAATATGCATCTTATTCGAGTTATTCCACGTCAAATCTCACACTCGCAAAACACTTATTTTTTAGCGACTTGAACATTTTTTACGAGTATTAGGGTTGAAAGTAGGTGGCACGCATTTTTTTCTTTTTTTTTTCTAATCCCACCCCTTGTACAGAGAATGGGGAAGAATATCTAGAACGGGGGAAGGGATGCATTAGCGGACTGAAAGGCCCTTCTCTGTACAAAGTATTTGTGCACCACACCGGGCCGTGAGGTGCCCGGGGGGGGGGGAGAGGGATGACGCTGGTTAAGGGAGGATGTGGAGGATGACAAAATTGCGAGAATTTCATTGTACATACTATTGATTAATATTCGATTTGTGTTCTTCGTGGATGGGATGATATGACAAATGAAATGTTAATTGTACAGAAATGAAATGGTTGTTCGTTACTTCTATGTTACTTATCACCGTGAAGGTTGGTCGCACTACACGTCCATGGGCTCACGGCTTTGCCGAATACCTGATGCTGGGTGGCTGCGGCATGCGTGGACCTCAGAGCTGCTCCTCTCCCGGGCAAATCGGGAATGCAGGCGTCCCACACAGTTCGCTGGTTACGGAGAGTCCCGCAGTTTGACCACGGACCTGGCCCTAGGTGGGCCCTAACAGTAGGAGTGTGCGTGCGGCACACACGGTCTCTCGCCAGCAGGTGACTGACGGTGTGAATCGGATCTGTCCGTACCGCACTGTAGTACCCGCTGATGACAGGTTCACAACTACTTTATACACGTGCCGAGGGCATCAGTTTTACGTGCGCGAAGTGCAAAACATGAAAGGAGCTCGTGAGCGCGGAGACTGCTCAGCGAAAAGGCCCTGGGCTGGCGGTGTGGCCTGTGCCTCTCGCGGTTGTTCTTGTTTGACCTGGCACAAGTGAACGTGCCATTTCAAGGGTAGAAGGCTGCAGTCCCCTTCGGGAAAAGCCGGGGTTGTTGGCCGCAGGGGCGGAGGGAGAGGCCGGCGGTGCGGGTGGCAAGCTCTGGGTGCGGCGGGCGCACCCTGCGGGAGCGGCCGCCTCCTGAGGGAGGGAGCGACCACCCGCCTTTGCGCGAGGGCTTTGTGTAGTGGACGGAACACCCCTTTCAGAAACATAATTTATTTTTCCAACGAATCAAACGCGCGCTATTTTTTTTTTTTTTTTTTTTTTTTTTTTTTTTTTTTGCGGAATTACCATTTTATACAGAATAAGAAAATTACACATAAATTTAACTTAAAAAGATGTACTTTCATGTGATGTAATTATAATTTTTGTAAACATATTATTTAAATATTTAAAATATATTGTAATTTTTAATACGCCGAATTTTACTTTAGGTCGACTCTTAAATTAATTACATAAATACTTGTGTATTTCAAAACTAATTTTGTATAGATCTGCCAAATTTCAAAGTGGGACACCCATAGAGAACATTTAAAAAATAGTTTGTTCACCGGTGCAAGAAGGCAGCCCGCTGTCCGCCGGACTCCCTACTTGGGGCGTCAGACACGACGCATCCTGACGTCGAAACATAATGCAGGGGCGGATCCAGAGACGAATTTTTTTTGGGGGGGGGATTTGCGTGTGTGTGTAAAATATATAAGTATAAAAACACAAATATAATACAAATTATTTATCAAAAATGGTTTCAACAAAATTAAAATATTAGCTTAATTGTTAATTTTTCTTACTTTTAAATTTAAAATAGTCATAATTTGTTATTAAAATCGTGGAATTGACAGCTGCAAAACGACGAAGGAATAAAGTGTTACACTTTTATTCTATGATACAGATGTCAACAGATAGAATTAAAATACAAACGCATGATATCGATTTATAAATTAAACTTTCGCTTACATACAAACATTACTGTCTAGGACTGAAGAGTTGACAGGATTTCACAAAATGTTTCAAGCATCTTCTACTTTTTATTAATTTCCTTTATATTTTCTTCTTATTCTCTCTAGATATTTTCTCTCTCATAAGTACTTATTAACCGCGCCGTCTTGAGGCGCACCTAAGCGATCCATGCACTATTCTCTTGTTTCGGGCACACTGTAATTGCGCGAAATGTCACATCGGCCCACGATCAGTCGCTTGGCATCTAGTGAGAGACCTTACTTCTTCAACACTGTTTCTAGTTGCGTCGGCCACACTCCAAAACGTGGAAGTCACCGTAGCAACGCTTGTGAAGCGGAGTAAGAAAGAGATATGAACTGTCCCATGCCTCTGTAGAGCACATTCCCAATGGTAACTAAAAGGCTAAGGAGAAGACGCGCTGTTATTTTTCTATACGTTTGAGACGTTTCTACAGTTTTTCTTGTGTTATTTGTATATTTCCTGCCATTCTACTATTTTATTTTTTCTCTCTAGGCCTTTGATTGGTATGCCCCCTTCTCGATCTATCCGCCACTGTGATTACATCAGTGACACATCCAACTCCTCGAGTTAAGCATCTGAATTTGTTTCGATAAAAAATTTAAATCACTTTTCTTTGCTTTTATGTCATTTTAAAAACGTTTTATGAGTATGTTATTAATAATTTTGATGATTTTTTATGTCTTTAAAATCCGCCCCTTCGTTATTATATTTTCCCATCCCAGGGATACTTTATAAATGCTTGACTGTGCGTCGAGTGTGGTTGGTAAATTAAGATAGTTTTTCATTAAAAATGTTTTGGTCAAATGTGTCATTACATATTATGTAGAATGACAGAGGCCAAACTCAGCTCATGCTGTTATACGATTTTATTCGTTTTAATGATTATCCGAAAATATTTATACGAAGTAGGGAGAAGGTTATGTAATACAGCGCGGAAAAACGGCTAAGTTTCAGCCGAAAAAAACTATAATAGAACCCTGGCAACGACAGAGTGGATAAATCCAGATGATAAATTTACCAAAAAAAAAAAAAAAAATTCTATCACGTGGTGTAGACAGAATTCATATTCTGTGTATCCTTCATACCGGAAAATCGAATGACGGCAAAGCATGTGTCCGTCTGTGAACAATACTAGCGGCTAAACCGTTCAGCCGATTTTCTCCAAAATTCCAAATCTACCTGGCTAATGTCGCGACTCCTTGAATTTGAAACCGATATTTTAATTTTTGGGGGTACTTTACATTAAGCCCGTGGGATATTTTTCAAATTAAAAAAGAAAATTATTTTTTTTGTTAGATTTTGTAAAAAACGTTTAAGAGAATGGTGCGGGGCTCATGTTCATTGAAAACCATAATTTTTGGAAAATTGCAAACGTTTACAATTTTTCGGAGTCTTTCTACAACTAAAATATTAAAGATAGATATTTTTTCCCTTAATGGAATCTGTCCCTTAGATGGATTTTGAAATGAGGTCATTTACAAATTTTCGAAAATTTGAGTATTTTCCGCGTAATTTTGCTTGAAATGTAAACAATTTTAAATTTGTTTCTCAAAAGCAAGACCATAGTTTTTGATGAATTGTTGTTGGTGGATGGTCTGAGGGACGTTTCAGACAATGCTGTTGGTCTCAAGTTGGTTAAATACCCTGATTTTTTTTGAAAATTTTTGAAAAAAAAATCCTTTCCGTCGTCTCTTTTCAAAAATTTGCAAATTTTGAAAAATCTCCAAATTTCCAAAACTGTAATTACAACGCACGCGTGCGTGCGTGTGTCTATACACAAACACACGCGCACAGTGAAGGTCTTTGAAGGTGGTCAATGCACTGCTCCCAGCTCCTTGCGAATTTTATCTAGCAACACCACTTCCTCTTGTGTCTGGTATATCTCTATGCAAGATTGTATAATATTCGAGTGCTATCATTCTCTCTGAAATGTCCGGGTTTAGCTAGGTTCATTGTTCTCCATTTTTTGTGAACTGAATTTGTATCAAAAGTTAAATTCTCCATTTTATTCCAATGGAATAACGTACACGAGAAAAGAAGCTTTGCCATATCTTTGAAGATGAATCTTGGGTCATTTGTATAAATACTATTTGTATATAATGAAATTAAAGATTTTTTAATTAGCAATTTTTTTGTTTCAGATCCTGTGGCTCCTAAGCGAAATATAGCAAAAACTATAGTCAATACAAAATTATTTTATTATTTCATGTCATGCATACGTACATCATTTATGTATTTTGCTACGCCACAAATGCAAGTGGGACCCATATTTCGCAGAGTACAGAAGCTTCCACCTGGTATGACAGAAATGAGACAACTTCTACTGGAACGGGAACAATTCTTGAGTTTCATTTGTAGATGCCATCCTTGCTTTCTTACTGATCAACAACTTAATGAGAAGAGCCCAAATCAAGTAATAGATCCTGGGGATCCAAACTTCAAGAATATTGGCCAGTTCATTGTTACTCCTGAACAAGCTCAGCTATTGTGTCAAAAATTCAATCCTAAATACTTGATTTACCAATTTTCAAAGCAATCATTTGTTGGTGGAAAGGTAATATATTGAAACTTATATGAAGACACATTCTAATTCTAAAATAATGATCTAGTTATTTAACATTTTCCATTTATACACTATTTCATTATATCATTGTGCATGAGATATACCGTTACCTTGTTTCCCCACACAAGCCCTATAATGTGTGTGTAAAGTTCTAAGCATACTTTAAATTCGAGTCACATGAAGTTGATATTAGATAACATGAGATGGTTGGGGTAAATGAAGTAGGGTGATGAGGAATTGAAGATTTATGAGATGGGGATCAGACCATTTAGGAAAGTTTCTAAGGCTAGCAAGACATAGGGACTTGGAGTTCCACTGTGTTTGTCGTAGATTTCTATTTACATGATACCTCATCTAACTGTACTGTTGATACCACAAATTTTTGGGTTGGCAACCTTGAGTCTGTACAAATCATAATTTCCAATAAAATTTTTGTTCCTAACACACAAGTCCTCTCACTAGGACAATCGCCTTAGTTCCTTAGTTTAGGTAATGCCTCATGGCTAATTCTATCATTAGCCAAATGTAGTTTCTGAAGTTTCCTGTTCTTCATCATACATACAGATTCATCCACACTTATTGTCTGGCTAATGTGTGAATTAACCAACTTCCAAAATTAAGCATATTTCAGATTTAAACTGTAACATTTTCACAAAACTGTGACATGCTCTGTATTTACAAAAACTTTGTTTCCCTTCTGGCAGACAAATTACAGAAATGTGGGTTAGCACTATTTTGTCCCAAAACCTTCAATTTGAATAATAGTTTATATATAGTTCTGTATTGTTCTTTTCATGTCTCAAGCATTATATGTAATACAAACTATTAGTCTTATGTACACTTTTTTAACATAACTAATGTGGCTTTCTGTAATTTTTGCAGAATCTGCCAATTGTGTGTACTTACTGTCGTGAAGAAGGGCATACAAAGGAGAAATGTCCAGAGGATTCTCTTCCTCCTTTGGAAAAGCTACCTAATTTGCCCAAAAGTTATTTGAAAAAGTTGAGCTCAATGTGTGAAACAATATATGGTATGAATTTGAAATATGACAAATTTACTGATATACAAAGTAATTATTTACTATTTGCAAATGCAAGAGAATGATGTTCCCTATTTGTAACTGCTTTTTACTAGTATAAGGCAGACGGCTGTGCGAGTACTTATTAATATCAAAAACTTTCTTAATAACTTCGTAGTTTAAACTGAGATCTTATGGTATGTATTCATTTTAAAAGTTAATTTGTAGAAATAATCTTAATCACAGATTTTATTTAATATAGGTTTACAGTCTAAGTCCAGCTTAGTTTGGGGAAGAATTTCCCAATTTTAAGTGGTGTTACAGCAATTGCATTTAAAAACAGTACAAATTCAAACTAGATACTAGAAATGAAAATATAAAATTCAAGTGTAAAAAAACAAATATAAGTAATAATTTAAAAAATTTCTACTTACTTTGGTATAACACAAAATAAATATATTAATACTAATATAAAATAAAAACTTTTATTTAAAAAACATTGTTCAGTACTAAATATCAGAGGATCATGTGAAAAACTTAAGGTTCTCTAATTAGCGTCATTTATAGTCATTTTCATAATTTAATAGTAATTTTTCTAATATCGTTGATGCTTTGGTCTTTGTGAACCCCTCAAACATTGTTTAGGGCTACATTTAACAAAAGATTCTAAATATTTATTATGCATTGAAAGTTTCATCATGAAGTACATGATTTAGGATTATTGAATGTTACTTCAACTTCCATTTTTCACAACATAATCTAATGTGTAATTATTACTAGACAGCAATTAACGTATGAATTAATATTGTTATTGCATAATTACATGGGACATTGTAGAAATTAACTGCTGATGCTGGTGGCAGAAATGAATGAATGATGGTGTGTTATGTTTTGGGCATCAGATTCTTAGGCTTTAACTCATTTTATTCCTCGCTTCTGAATGTCATTCTTTTAATACACATATCTATTCCAATAATTTCCGAGCCAAATCCAAGAGATTCTGAAAATGGCTAAAATGAGTTATGATCCCAAAACAGGCAGAATGTATAAAGAAATAATTCAAAGTTTGATTGAAATAAAACTTATTTCTTTGTTTGGGTTGATTGGAAATTTATGATGACCTTGACTCAGCATCTAAAGAAGTAACTTTGTTGCTACTAATTAGATTAACCCTAATTTACTGCTAAAAATTAAGTTCGTATCTTCTTCTCAACCAAGCGATGAACATCATTTAGGCAGTTTTATGAAATGAAGTGCTAGGGGCTGTAGATGATGTAGATTACACACAGATGAAAGATCCAAATGAGAATGTTTTTGGAGAAAAAATATCTGGAAAATTACCTAGGAGACTGAGGAGTCACATCTTTGAGGTATGCACTATTGACTTCATTTTGCGAAGAAAACCATTTTCGCTATTCAATTGTTCAAAGAGAAGCAATAGGTTCTTGACATAAAATGCAGGGTAAGTCAATAAGTATCTGTACTTTTGTTCTAATAGACTGTAGGTTGCCTATGCTGTTTTGTGCACCTATCAGCTTTAAGATGACATTGTTTGCTTTGCGTATGGTATGTTTCAATAATGTTGACTTGATGTAAACATGACTGCTCCACTCTGATTGCATAAAAATGAAAAAGGCTTTCTAAATCCATTTTTTGTGAACTGAATTTGTATCAAAAGTTAAAAATCATTAGAAGACTTTCAGACCAATGTGTGTGCTATGTCTTTCTTTGCAAAGATTTTATTAGTGCATCGAACCATTTAAAAGCAGCAGACAAACAAGCTACCAGGAATCATCCTGCATCCAAGTAACATGCAATCTATACAGTCAACCTACAGGCAATTAGAACAAAATGGCAGATACTTTATGACCCATCTTAGTATCTTGGGATTGCACATGGTTGCCCATTGCTAATTGTACATCTTACAGAAAGTAAATGTTTGTCGTGGAAACTAATTTTCACGGGAATATATAAGAAAAAAATTGTTCTTAAATTTTGTTTTTGAGACGAAATTTGTTCAAATTCATTTACAAACATTGAATAAAACAAGTATGAAGGTGTCCATCAAGTGTGTATCCCTACATCGCCAACAAAAGGAAGCACAATTTCGTGAAAAACTTTGTTAGCAGTTACAGTACATTTTTTTATTATTTTTGCATACATTCAACCCCAGAATCAACATATGTCATACTCTGTTATCAACATTTGAATTCAGTCTTGAAATTCTGCCAGCTGGGATAGATAGCAGTGTTTGACAGCCAACTGTGTCACTGTGATGCACATTTTGCGGAGGGGAACGGAGAGGAATTTCTTAGTGTCAAGAATTATCGAAATCGCTGGGGGGTTTGGACTAATGGAGGGATAATCCTCCACACATACTACTGCAGCAGTAGTAACACTTCTGGGAAGTGTTTGGTCATGGCAGAGAGTTCTGCCATTTCAAAAGTATATATTTTAATTTATGGAGTATTTTTGACCCCATGAGATTTTAAAAATTTTATCAAAAATGGTTCCAAATGGCACGAAAAAAAAATGCAGTTCCTCTTGTTATTAAATGTTGAGGATTTGACAATCACAAAAAAAAAAAATTATTCTATTCGGTATCATCCTATAACTACTGTGGCAACCATACCCAATTGCGCTATAAAATGTTCACATCATGTTGTAACTTATTGTTGAGGCATGTTTTCAGAAATTATATATGCCTCTGACATTCTCATTCAGCAATAGTTTAAGTTAGTAAATTGATAAACTGAAGGCAGTCTTTTTAATTACAGTTTATTATTGCAAATATTTGCACTTATATGTTTTTTCCATTTAAACAGGCAATCACCCAATATATTAAATATTATACATGTGTAATTCACAAGTACACACTAATTTAAATTTGTCTAATCATTTGCTTTTTACTGTTGTAATAAATTTACTTTTCAAAAATCAAAAGATCAATGTTATAATTATTTGCAAGTGTAGTCATTCGATTCATTGGACAATTGAAGTATATATTTGTTCGTACTGCTGGTAAGAAGAATGTGGTCTCGTCAATTCGTCTCTGATCTCATGGAGGATTTTCCAATTTAATATTGAGCAAGATTTTATATGCACATAGTTATTTTTCTTACTTGATTGGTCTCCTTTTGCTTTAAAAATAATTTTATATAAATAAATGAACTCTATTTGTTTAAATATCTGAATTAAGAATTTTTACGGTCTATCAAGCAAAATAGATGATATTAGGTCGTAACATAAAATTAGGTTAGCTAAGGCTCCGTCAAATCGAAGATGGTACTTCAAATAAAGAATAAAATAAAGAAATTGGGAGAGTAAGAAGACATGAATAAAATTGCTCAGAAACCAAGTATCCGGGGCCTAGAACAATAATAATTATAATATCTTATTTATCTTAGAAACATTGATTTGACTTGCTCCTCGCTAATGCCTTTACTACTGGTATACTTTACAGTAAACTCCTCCTAAATATTCATCTTGAAAATGAAATTGTTAGTGACTGGCAATAGTAGTCATAAGAGTTTCAGAAGTTATGAGCCATAAAATTTAGTGGTGGTGATTCCATGATTTGATTTTAAGGTTTTTTCATTGTCAATTCTTTAAATGAATGACAATGAAATGTATTAGTGGTGTTTTGATGGTTATTGTTAGTTGTAACATGATGCAGGTGTTCGATTCATGGATGTCATGTTGTATTCTCATGTTCTTATTTATTTGTTTTTCAGAAATGTGGGCTTTGACCCCATCAGAACTTGAAGATAGAGAAAATATTGTATCTCATCTTCTGCAGTTTTTAAGTAAAAAATTCCCAGATGTTGCATTAACATTATTTGGTTCATCTTGCAATGGATTTGGTCTTAAGCGATCTGATATTGATATATGTTTTACATTCACAACGTGTCCTCCTGAGGAGGTATGGTTCAGGTGTTCTCTATTTCTTAAAACAAATTTTTCTTTATTCTTTAAGGACTGTTGTAATGTTCTTAAATTTTATTTCTATTTTATCTATAACTTCAGTTTATTTTTAGATGTTTGTAGACGTTTACAAAACTTGTGCATTATGATTTTACTAGAGCATTTATCTTTTTCAGGAACTAGACTTTGCGAAACTGATTCAGGATCTGTATGGTCTCCTTAAAAAATATTCTCCATTTAGTAACCTTGTACCTATCACTACTGCTAAAGTTCCAATTTTGAAGTTTTTTCATTGTAATTCGAAATTGGATGGTGATATCAGTTTCCACAACACATTAGCTCTGAAAAATACAAAACTGATACGGACATACAGTAACATTGATGCCAGAGCCAAGGTAATTAGTGTATCATACATTTTAAATAAGTTAATTTTAAATTTTACATACATTTCACCAAACAAATATAGCAGGAGTTGAAGTAGAGAGTGTACCATGATGGAGATATGAGGCATTCAGAAGCCAAGCTGATTAACTCCATCAAATGAAAATTTTCAGTATGAACACTTTAGTCCAGATCTATAAAAAAAAGTCTATAATTTTTTCAGCATAATTCAGATAAACTCATTCGGTTTTTTACAATTAAGGGTATGTTTTCAGCACTTTATGGGTATGTTTTCAGCACTTTATAAATATATTTATCTCTCTCTCTCTCTCATAAAACAAAACTTTACATAGAGGTATTGACTAATGCTGTATTGTATTGACAATATTCTGAATGGTTTCTAAACAACTTACTTTATTAAACAAATACCCTCAGAACAAAATATTTTTACTAGAAAACGTTACAAGTATTATTGTAATTAAACAATACTTAAACAACAAAGTTGATAGGAAGAAATTATGGGAAATCTTGGAAGAGGAGAAAATCCCACATCATTTAATTAGAGCAGTACAAAGCCTTTATGAGAAACCCAGAATAAAAGTACAGCTAGGAAAGAGGAGAAACTTGACATCTATAACATTGCCTGCATAGCGAATATCTTTTCATCGAAGTTGGACTTTTAGGGAAAAAACGTCTCTTGGCTGTAATATATTTACCTCCTAAGACAGGCAGCATAGATATGCTGGACGAAACCATTGCATCTGCAATAAATTCCTATGAACACGTTATTGTAATGGGTGACTTTAATCATAACTTATTAAAACCTTCTCCCTCTGCAGAGCTTTTTACGTGGTTTTTCCACAGCATGTGCCTCGAAATTTTACCTCTAGGACCAACACATCACTCAAAGAATACAGAAACTTGGATCGATCATATTATAGTGTCTAATGTAAACAAAGTTCGAAAACACGGACAATTTCCAGTTCCTGGGATTTCAAAACACGACCTAATTTATCTTGTTTATACCCTAAAGTGCCCTAAATACTCTCCTCACATAATCAAATACCGCGATTTTTCAAAATTTGATAAGCAAGCATTTATTATAAATGGACTGGCACTTCCATGGCGCCTTGTACACGAAGAAGAATTACTGGATGATAAAGTTTTAAAATTTTAAAAGTTTAAAAATTTCGCGTGTAACTCGTCCTCCTGCACCATGGTTAACTGCTGAAATTTGAAATTTAATGATGCAGAAAGCTGATTGATGAACGTCTCACGGTGCACCTCGTAAAAGTCCGCAGCGTTTCAGAGTGCATTGAAGCAAATACTTTACGGCAGGTTGAATCTACGTGCGAGTTTCAGCTGAGAGTGTTGTCGATACTACAACCTAGGTCTTCACTTCAGAACACCAAGGAAAATGGTGTCATTTAATAAAATATTAGGCAAACGAGAAGATGAGATTTATTCACAGTGCATTTCGAGCTGATAACCGTGCACTGTGATTTGTTTGGGTTTAATTGTAAGCCTAAAGATGCTGCCCAGTGTCTACCGCTATCACAATCTGACTAATTTTTTGTACGAAAAAAGGTGAAACCAAGGTGAGACGGTGCCACTTAGAATATCTGGAGATCATCCCATACATTTGAATGACTGCATATTTAAGTGCATTTCCCACGTCATACATTAGATCAAGAAGGCCATGTGCCATAAACACATGCCTGTAGCAACCGCGGTAAGCTTCAAGACCCTTGACTACGGCTACCGACACCACCTTTGGGTCTGAATTAAATAATAAGAAACCATTTACACGTGCGCTGTGCAAATCCCATGATCTTTAGTTGGCGGCAGGAGTGCGGATCTACTGAAATCGAAGCTTTGCGAAATCCAGAAGAACCAAAATTAGTTTAATTACGGTAATCTATTGCTGTCTCGCGTCTTCAGTGACGTTTAAGTAGCCGCGTTCCTGTATTTCTGCGAACGGAAACCATGATGCGATTGTTTTAAAGTATTTGTGTCGAAGATACTGTTCAGTTTGCTTCCGGACGACTTTCGATACTTTAGAGATAGTTGGAGGCATGCATATTGGCGGCTATTCATAGGTTATTGGTTGATGCGTCTGGAAAGGAATGCACGAGCGCAGCTTCCAGGAGTAAGGATATCTGGCCCTGCTCATTATGAGAAGTACGCATTTTCGGGAAATGGATACGGACATCTAACCTGATTTTTAGCAGCTTGGCATTTATACCATCGGAACTGAAGCATTGATTTGAGACTTTGATTATATCCTGATGTTCAACGGACGAAAAGTAAAATTCATCGTTGGATTTATTTCTGCCCGTTTGGAGAAACAAAAGAGATTGCTTTTCAAGTTCTGCAAATGAAAGAACGCGGTTTATGAAACTCGTATTAGTGATTCAAGGACTACGCTTCAATTTGGGCAGACCTTTGCCTATGTGACTAGATTTTCAATTTCAGATCGTTCTCGAGTCGCTGGTTCTGCCGAAGGTGGATGTGTGCAAATGTTATAGCGTTCGGCATTTTCTGCGTAACTTAAATTGCTGAGCATTATGTACTGTTTTTAAGTAGTTCCATTTAGTTTTCCGGAAAAATTGCATAACGGTGCATCACGACTT